AGAAACTGACAAAGTTGATCATTCATGGCTGTGACAATTTGAAATACCTATTCACATCTTCTATAGCAACAGGATTGTTGAAGCTTAGACACCTGCAACTAAAGAAATGCCAAAGGATGAGAGAGATTATTGTGGCTAATGGTGATGAAGAAAAAAAAATTTTGATTTTTCCTCAATTGACTTTTCTGGAGATAGAGGACCTTCAAAACCTTGTCAGCTTCTGGGCAAGAAATTATACTGTAGAATTCTCATCCTTAAAACAACTACGAATATTGAACTGCATAGGTTTTGGGAGATTCACTAAATTTTTCGCAAGTACAAATGTCACATACGACACACCATCACCCTTGGAGGAGGAAAAGGTAATTATTTCTTCAATTCAGTTGCATTTTACCTTTAATTTTAGGAGCTATAATTGTTCTAATCCTTTTGCTCTTATTGTCATGATGTGTAGGCTATTTTCCCCAACTTTACTAGCACCCACTTAGAAGAACTTAGAACCAGTTAATTTTAGCAATTGTTACTATATATAATAATTTAGTCTTATTTTTATTTTTATTTTTATTTCTAAATTACTATATAACAAAACCACATGTGTATAGATTCCTTTATTTTGCAAATTAAAATTAAAAAGAAAAACATTTTCATTAACATTTATTTTCCCAATCAAGACAGAACCTCAACTAATGGAACTGCTATACAATTTCACAAAAATTTTAAATATATTTAATTAATCAAAAATAAAAATAAAAAACTTTATTAAAAACTTTAAAACAAACAACGTGATTAAGATGAAATAATAGACTATAAATCGAGGAATTACCCTCCCCAATTTGAGTCTAAACCTCAAGTGCGATGCCTCAACCTCTCAATTACCACCAAAAGTCCCCTAAGGACACATTTTGACTTGTTTGGTGAAGCCCAAGATGAACATGATAATCCTTTTTCTTATTTATAGACAAAATGATAAATTTTTGTAATAAAAAGAATTATATCCTGTGCAGGTTGTGTTTTCATCAAACCTAGAGGAGTTGCAATTGTGCTCGATTGGGTATATTGACATCATATGGCACACTTCGATGATATCTCGTTTTGAGAAACTGAAGAAATTAATTATTCATGACTGTAAACATCTGGAATACCTACTCTCATCTTCGGTTGAATCGGATTCAGAAGGGATGATCCAACTTCTCCTTCCAAAACTAAAGAGGTTAGAATTGGGAGATTTGCCCCTGTTGAAGAACATCTGTAGGGAGAGGGCAGCAATGGTATGTGATTCTCTTGAATACATTATAATATGGAATTGCTGTAGCCTAAGCAGGTTCCCTCTTTATCTTCCCCAACTTGAAAATGGACAGCCATCTCCTCCTCCTTCCCTCAAACAAATCGTAGTATGGCCACGTGAATGGAGGAAATTTTTAGAGTGGAGCCATCCTAATGCAGAGCATGTCCTTCAACAATTCTGTGGAAGTTATCATTCGTTTCCTTTCAAATTAGTAGAAGGGCGTATTAAAAGGTTAGAGTTCACCGGTATTGATGTAAAGAATACTTGGCTGCTACCATCCGTCCAAGAATTAGTTCTTAATGAATGCAACTACTTAAGAAGCTTAAATGATATCTCTTCCACTAAAGATGCAGAAGAATTGAAGTGCTGCAGGATTCGGAAATGCAGTGGCGTGAAGTGTTTTCTTTCCTCGTCCATAAATCTACTGGCCCAAAAGCTTGAGGTTCTGGAACTTTATAATTTGGAAAACTTGGAAGCCCTTTTGGAAGCAGAGGCAATTACCCAGTCACCACTACCACCTGACACTTTTTCATCTCTTAAAACAGTAACTGTTGGACACTGTCATAAAATAAAGAAGTTGTTCCCCTTTTGGATGAATCTCCAAAGTCTAGACGAAATTCGCATTGGATATTGCAATCAGATGGAAGAAATAATAGTATGGGATGCAGAAGAAGCAGGAGGAGAAAAAGAAGGGGTCATCCAACTCATTCTTCCAAAATTGAAAATTTTGAAATTGAAAGAATTGCCCGCATTGAAGAGCATCTGTAGCAGGAGGGCGGTAATGGTCTGTGATTCTCTGAAAGAGATTCAGATCTGGAATTGCCAGGGCCTAAGGAGGATCCCTCTTTATCTTTCCTTGCTTGATAACGGACAACCATCTCCTCCTCCTTCCCTCGAAGGGATCAAAGTATGGCCACGAGAATGGGGGGAATCGTGGTGGGAATCGTTGGAGTGGGACCATCCCAATGCAAAGGATGTCCTTCTACCCTTCCGGAGATTCACTCGGTTGTGGTGCCTTTGTCTTTAATCAACGAAGAAGATGAAGAAGAAATCACCTATTGTCACTCTGCAACAGTCATCTTCACCATGGCTCCTCTAATCGATGTGGAAAAGGTTCATCTTCGCTTTGGTCTAGTTTTATTTCTAGACTAGAAATTGTTAATTCATGACCTACAAAATGAGATAGAAAGGAACATGGACGAAATATGGATTAATTAACTGACTTCTTTTTGTTGAATCAGGAAGCTGAGATATCCGCCTCTATCTCTTCATGGGCATCAAGGAATTTGGACACTTCTCAAAAGAGGGGCTCCGCAATTCTCAATTTGTAGTGCATTGTGAGTTGTATCATTTTCTGTAACTGGTAAGAGTGCCCGCTGCCAATCTTTTGTTTTAGGTTTTCAATCGTTAATGTTTTGAATCAGTCCAATTGATAATTGCACAACTTCCTCAAGGTTTTGCTATAAAAGATGCCATGGATCTGAATTGCAAAAATATCAAAATTATTTATTTATCTTTTAGCTGAATCTTGGAATCCCAGTTGCTGTTAAAATTGGTCTATTTAGTTCGGTCTTTTTGGTCCTGGGATTTTTTTGAACTCAATTGTATTGGCATTTTGTGTTTTGGATTTGGTATTAGGATGCAATTCCAATGGAAGTTTGGGTTTCTTGTAAATGTCAGATTAGTAATACTATGTATAGGAGTTTTGGGGTGAAATGCAGTTGATTAATCAAATAACTTGTATCGTTGTTGGTGAAAATAAAATGAAAAAGAAAGGGGGGAAAACTAAAAACACAGTATCATATATGGCATAAAAAGTAACTTAGCAACGCTTAGACTGGATGGTGTTTTGTCTGCCTAATTTTGACAACCTCTGGTATAAGTTCTGGTATGGTGGGATAGGAGATGATAAATTTCCCCCTTTAGGTGTTTGTGGTTGCAGAACACCATTGTCCTTTTTGTTAATTCTTCCTATTTGTAATTTTTTTCTTCTTTTTGCAATGCAGTTTGGCGCCCGTGATGTAGTTGTATTAAAACAAAACATGGCTGATTCAGGAGCTCTTGGACGAGGTGTAGTTTACTGGCTAAAGGTAATTGTGGGTATTGAAAGATATTTGGGTTAGTCAGTAAATTGTTTTTTTTTTCTTGTTATGTGTGATTCCCCTGAACTCTTCTGCTGCTGATTTCATGTGCATGTTGAACAGGATTCCTTAATCACTGTTGCTTTTGATAACATCCCAAAAGAAGATTTAAACAGTCCCTTCCCCCTAGAAAATGTGTCTAACTAGGTTTGCTATTAAAATTCTTCAACAGCTTCTCTGCTTCTCATGGTGGCTTTAATTGTTGTACACAAATCTTCGCAAGCCTAAATGTAATGAAACTAGTATAGAATTCTCAGTACCAAACTTTCTTCCTTGATATTGGTTTTGTAATCAATTTTATTACTATGTTTTACACTTTTACTGATTTAAGCTTATAAGAATTAAAAAAAATCCAAATTTGTTGATGCAGGTGACATCTTGTAAGATGAAGTATGCCTTGATACAATTGAGCAAAGTGTGCTAAAGGGACCTGCTGCCAATATAGTTCCTGTCTTGTTAGGAGAGAGATTGCCAACATTGTGAAAGAAGGATGTAATGTTCTCCCCTTTTAATTCCCACCTTGATCTCTCTCAGGTGTGCAATTGTTTACTTCCCGAGTTCTTTTTCTTTTTGGATGACAAATGGTTTACCTTTTTCTTTCCTCCTTTTTTTTTTTTGGTTGGAGCAGGGGGTTGAACGTGTTTTGTGTTAAGTTACAAGTCATAAGAACTAAATGTATTGGTTGCTAATCACTTTCACTTTCTCTTACATGATTTGCATTCTTAAATTCAGTTTTGAGTTGAGAACCGAAAATGGAAACTGACTGAACCCAATAGAATAGAATTGACTGTAGTGCATTGCAGTTCAACGACCTAGCTTATATAATCATATTAATTGTGCAAGCCTCACTTGGATCATTATTTTTGTTTTAGGTTTCAAGATTTACATCATTTGGAGGCTAGTTCCTGTACAAGAGAGTGAACTGTGTAGATAATTTTGTTTTACAAAGCCAGAGTGATACTGCTTTATTTTTAAAAAATAGGGAAGAATTTTTGGTGTGTAAATGTAAGGTTCAGTTGACATTCTACTTCACAAGAAACATCTCAAATTTCAGAAAGGTAAATATTGAGTTGATTGATTTACTTAAGGTTTAGGGAGACCCATAAATTCTAGAAATTTTGCTATATACAATCATTGTATATTTGTAATAAAAGGATAATGTTTCATTTACTTCAGTGGAATATATAAGAAAACAAGCGTGAAGATGATAGCACATTGAATGAAGGTGGAGCTAAGATTTCTATTTTAGGTACAAACTAAAGGAGATTTGCTCAGAGTGGAGTCTAAGGTTCAGATTTTGGAATGATTACCCCATATGCTGCACAGGTGCTATAGAGTGTACCATGTTGTCAGTTGTATCATTACTTTAGGTTTCCATCCTGTTGACGAACTGACCAATACATGGATTGTTTGCTCTTATAAATTTCAACTATGTTTTAGGTTGACTTACAAAAGATGTTGAGAAGCAATGAGGATATAAACTGGGAAATTGATGTTTTGAGACCATGTTGCACCCACTCTCCTAGTGTTGGTGCCAGGGCTTGTGATGGACTTTGGAAGGTGTCGATGTCTGGGAAGTCAAAACCTAATGACCAAGTGGAGGAAGAAAGAGTTGGTACTGTAGCAAAATATTGGCACCTATTTCTCAAGGGTCAAGGATCGATCATGTCTAGACCTCAGCTGACGACGGTCACTTGTGGTTTGTACATGGTGTCAACACTCAGGACTCAAGTGTTGAGACCTTTAGTTGCTGACAGCCTTTTTATGTATGTTATACTTGTACCCATACATTATATGCTGATCATCTTTATAGGGGATGATTTTGATCTGGACTATGTCCCAAGGTTTTTTCTGATTTGGGTTTTCCAAGTAAAAATTTTGGTGTTGATTCTCTTTACTTTTCCGCAATTACTTTTGGGGATTTGATTACTAGTGGTTGGTAACAATGTCTTACTGTGTTTCCTTAATAAGTTTACAGAGATGGACAAAAATGCCATCTTGATGCGGTAATGCAACCTGCACTACTGCTAAACATCATAGTACCTAACTTAACTGAAGATCAAGAGATCTATTTATTACTAATTTTAGAAGTTCCAAATGGATGTAGGCCACATTAGCTCCTCTAGAATATCATGAACATGGAAGCTGGCATCTGCTCCTTGATGATCTGCTCCAATTCCATTCATCTCTATTGGAGCATCCCAGTTGAAGCTCTTCTCTCTGAAGGCTACAAGTTCTTCGAAATTGCTAACATTAGAATCCATCACTGACTCTGATAATTTCTGTGTAGGAATTCCACCTATTCCTCCTGTTTGTGACTGCTTTTCCTCTCTCACTATTGCAAGCTGCTGAAGGAACTCATTTAGATGAATCTGTGGTTTCTCTCGCTGCAGCATTTCCTCTGACAAAATATCCACATCTTTCTCCTTGGTTGTCAGATTTTCTATCTGCCTCTGGCTCTTCTTGCTTTTGACCTAAGTATCGGTTTTTGATTCACATGAAGATAAACTAGAAGAAGAAGAAGAAGATTGGTTCAGAGCTCCATTGTTCTTCTTGAGTTCTTCAAGCCTCTGATGGATAACGTGAACACTAGGTTGGGCATCGATATTGAGCAGACCACAAGAAGGAAACATGGAGATGAAATCCTCTGAAGGAATCCATGTGAATCTGTTCGTAGGATGAGAATATGAGTTGGGTTGAAGGCGAGAGAGATTGAGGTAAGCATCAGGTCCATAGAGTCTCCTTGCAGCCTCATCATAAGCCAAGGCAGCTTCCTCTGCAGTAGCAAAAGAACCAAGCCAGAGTCTGGTTCATTTCCTGGTCCCCCTGATTTCTGCCACCCATTTGCCCCATGTCCTTTGCCGGACTCCCCGGTATTGGCAGGAAGCATTCAGAGGACCGCCTTTGCCTCTGGTTGGACCTTTCTTCCAAGGCTTTATAGAAGATTTTCTGAAGGTTTCCATGGGAAGAAGTGAATGTGAGAACTGAGGAGAGTGCAAGTGCAGTGAAAAGAGCAGCATGGCGCGGGATTATGTAGGAAGTGAGAGCGCAGATTTGGTTTAAATGCTTTCACGTTTCAGAAAAATTAAGCTTTGAAACCCCATGAACTATGTTGGAAAAATAAACTTGATTTATTAATCTCCTATTTTTAGTCATGTACCTGCATAGTTCATGTACCAGCATAGTTCATGTACCCATTTATTTTATCTTTACAGTTTCTAGGAGTTTCATTTAACTGTTTTGGGTTTGGAGTTTTTTGTGCCTATAAAATGGCTTGTGCTTGTACTTGAGAATTGATACATCTAAGCCAAGAATAAGGAAGCATTTCTGGAAAGTTTCTTCCTGTGTTCCTCTCCAGTCTTTCCTCCCAAATCTTTATTTCCAACAAAGTGGTATCAGAGCTGACTTTCCAGAGATGAATAGCACTTTTCCCTTTGTAGTTCCCAAACTTACAAAGGAGAATTATGGACATTGGTGTATCCGCATGAAGGCATTGCTTGGCTCACAGGAGGCATGGGAGGTTGTTGAGAAAGGCTATGATGAACCAGAGAATGAAGGAGTCTTCAATCAAAATCAGAAGAATGCTTTGCAGAAGCTTCGAAAGCAAGATCAACATGCCCTCTCTATCATACACATGGGCTTGGATGAAGCTCTGTTTGAGAAAGTTGCTACTGCAACAAAGGCTAAGGAAGCCTGGGGGATTCTTGAGAATAATTTTAAAGGAATTGACAAAGTGAAGAAGGTTCGCCTTCAGACTCTTCGTAGTGAGTTTGAATCTCTACATATGAAGGAGTCTGAATCTGTTTTCGACTATTTCACTAGAGTGTCTTCCATTGTCAATCAAATGAAGCGTTATGGAGAGAAGATTGAAGATGTACGTGTTGTGGAGAAGATTCTCAGGTCACTTGACTCAAAACTTGAGTTTGTGAGTGTTGCCATCGAAGAATCAAATGACTTGGATTCCATGACCCTCGATCAACTCATGGGGTCCTTGCAAGCATATGAAGAAAGACTTAAAAAGAAGCAAGAACCGGTGGCCCAAGTTCTCCAAACTAAGGTCTCTTTGAGAGAACAAGAGCAAAAGCATGGACGGTCTCAAGGAAGAGGTCAAAGTCGAGGTCGAGGCCGAGGTCGTGGTCATGGTCGAGGGGGAAATTTTGGCCGTGGCCGAGGAAGAGGAAGAAATGAAGGTGGCCAAAATTTTAACAATGAAGGGTCGAGCAATCAACCACGAGGACATGGAAATTATGGTTCAAAGAGAGGAAGCGGAAGAAGGTATGACAAGTTCAATATTCAATGTTATGCTTGTCACAAATATGGCCATTATGCCAATGAATGTAGAAGTTCATCCACCAACAATGAGGAGAGAGCTAATTATGTTGAAGCAAAAGAAGAAGAAGAATTGCTGCTGTTGATGGCAACTAAAGAAGAAAGAGATACTGGAGCATGGTACCTTGACACGGGTGCCGCTAATCACATGAGTGGCAACAAAGAGTTGTTCTCAACTCTTAATGAGGCAGTGAAAGGCAACATTATATTTGGAGATGATACCAAAATCCCAATCAAAGGCAAAGGTGATGTTCTCATCCGTTCGAAAACTGGAAGTCACCTTTTAATTACTCAAGTTTATTATGTGCCTACTTTGAAATCTAACATTTTGAGCTTGGGACAATTACTTGAGATGGGGTATGACATTCATTTGAAGGATGGTTGTCTTACTTTGAGAGATGGTTCACACAACTTGGTTGCGAAGGTGCCTATGGAGAAGAATAGAATGTTTTTGCTGAATGTTCATGTGGATCATCCAAGAAGCTTGAAGACTTGTGTTGAAGAAGCTTCTTGGCTTTGGCACTTGAGATTGGGTCACTTGAACTTTGGTGGCTTGAAGGCTTTAGCAAGTGAAGAGATGGTGAACGGGTTGCCCAAAGTTAATCACCCCAACCAGCTTTGTGAAGGATGTCTTTTTGGCAAGAAAGCTAGGAAAAGCTTTCCAAAGGAGGCCACTTTTAGAGCAACCAAGCCACTCCAACTGGTTCATGCGGATGTGTGCGGACCAATCAAACCATCATCATATGGTAAAGCTAATTATTTCTTGCTCTTCATTGATGATTTTTCTCGCAAGACTTGGGTTTATTTTTTGAAGGCAAAAAGTGATGTTTTTGGAGAATTCCAAAAATTCAAAGCTCTTGTCGAGAAGGAGAGTGGTTACTCTATCAAAGGCTTAAGGACTGATCGAGGAGGAGAATTCACTTCCAAGGAATTTCAAAATTTCTGTGAAAATAATGGAATTCG